CCAAACATTTAAAAACATATATAAACACAGTTATATTTTACAGATAGTTCCTAGACACCTAATGACTAATGTACAACAAAGCGTTACCCACTATTACAGCTTTATTAATATTTAGACATCTATGATTGCATATACATTCTATATCACATCTACTGGCCACCAAATCAATGGCAGTCGCAAAATATGTGAGTTAACATTGGATTTTTTCTGTATTTTGCTCATAATTTGTATTCATATTATATAAATGACTACTTATAACTAAAGACTTAAGCTGATTCAAATTACACTCATCGATATTAGCCCAATAAATAATAATTATAAAAGTATATTTGTGTACCTATTGAAATAGTTACATTTCATAGGCTTCACGTACCCAACGAAAGATAACAAAAGAACTTTTGTTTTTATACTAAATGTATAAATATTAAAATAATATAACAAATACGAAAATATGGATATAGATATACCTATATATATATATATATATAAAGAGAGAGAGAGAGATACCTAATCTTACAACGAAATGCACATTTCATCACGTATTTTACGTCTGCAATTTTACACTAAAATACATGGATAATAAAGTAGATATACGAGTGGTTATTATAGTTACACATTAGTATCATATTTTTTACATCGGTACATGCATTATAGGTATATCAAACATGCCCACACAAGACAAGCACTACAGTTATCGAATTTAATGAAGATTAAATTTTCTGTTGTTTGTATTTTAAAAATGATAGAATTATTTTAATACTTAAATATTTTATCTAAATATTTTATCTGAGCTCCCGATCATTGTCGTTTACTGTAACATACATTCATGTGTAAATATAATATAGTTATGTTGAATGTCAGCAATTTGCATGAATAATACATTTGTATGTATATAATATATTTTACAGCTATTTATTTAATTGTTAAAGCATCATTGCATCAATCTATTAATATTGCAAATTGCAATGATAAGCAGTAACATAAGAGTAGGCATTTTATGTTTTCTCAGAGTTATAGTATTTCGATTTCGTTACAAAATTACATTTTTATATTAACAAGACACGACTGATAAATAATAATGAATAAAACAAAATGTAAAAATATGCAAAAGTGTGTTCTTATTTTATAAATTTCAAACTACTGTAGGTATATCTGTTTTATACCTAGTACCTATACTTATATGTGTTTAATATTTTCTAAATTAATACATTTGTTCAGTCGATATACCTATTTAGTTAATATTTACAAAAATAAATTCAATTTTCACTTACAATTACTCAGTTTGATGTTTCATTTACAAGGTACATCGCAAATATGTAAATTAATTTGATGATGAATGATGATCACAATATACCTGTTGCTCGTGAATAGTGATGATTAGCATAATCAGAGGACGTTTTTAATATTTAACAATACGATCCTTAGAAAAAAACAGGTAGGTATAGTTATGTTACAAAATGACAAACTGAACAAACTTCTTTTAAAAGACCCTTTCTGACACATAGATAATTATAAATAAACACGTTCTTATAAAGAGCGTGTGTAAAAAAAACAAAAAATTATTTTAAAAACATTTTATCAATACGTGTCTGAATAATAGTGAAATCGTGTTTATATAATTATATATTACATTTCCGAAGTAGGTATTTATCGGATTTCGTCTCATATTCACATATATTAATGCCTATTATTATCAGATTTACGAGAACATTACAAATAAGAAGGAAAATAGTAAATAGGTACTATACCTAACATACAATACCTACACCAAGCATTTAATAATTATTTACAGTTTAGACTCTGAGTGAAATATTGTTATATTATTGATGCAAGAATAACCTGGTTTCAAACACATTTCAACAACAATACATTATTATATACCATCCTTTATAATAGTAGATAATGGGGGGACGGAGTGGCTGAGCTGACACCGACGCCGGTTCAAAACCTCGGCCGTGGGCGGTACTTTTCTTCGGGCAAGTCACGGTGTCCGGAGAGAAGTGCCGCCATCCCCCTCCCGGGCATTGCAGATACCTACGGGTGCCCACTAAAAAATCTGCCAAACTGTGTAAACGTGTTTGAAACCTACAGTACCCTCCCACACAGTAAAAACCACCCAATGGCCTAAGTTAAGTTAATTAATAAAAAAAAAAATAGTAGGTAATAATATTTTCGTTTTATGATGCTGAAAATGTTTTCAATTTTAATAAAAATTACAGAATGAAACCATACATGGAAACAAGTAAATGCTTTGACTTTGAAATATTTTATTCTCGATAAAAAAAACTCTAAAGTAATTCAGCCAAACGCCTAACTGTTAAATCCAAGATTAAAGACCAGAGGTAAACACTGTGCTGTCGGAGGTTACAGGTGCTGCGTAATAGATGTCGAGTGTACTTCGTCAATCATCATAATATTATATAGGTCACTGAAGTCTGCAATAGTGTAAAGGATGTGTTAAATTTGAATTCGACGATAAATCATTGCACAATATAAAATACGATTCTGAACGGAGACCGTGTGCAGCCTCCATTGACAGTTCCTAAAAATTATATATTTTTATAGTTTATTAATTTTACTAATTTTATTACTATAAATGAGTCATTTATTTTTATTTTATAGTTACGACCGCGGCGGCGGTTGAACTAATTTTTCCCAAAAACTATCGCGTATATTATATTATTACGATATTATATCATATATTAGTAGGTAGGTATTGATTATTGATTATTGATATTAAATTATTAATGGTATTTTATTACGTACATATTTGGAAAAAAGGTTTATTTTCTAAGTATTACATGATGTGTGTGAATTAGTCTGAGCATAATTTTATTGTCAGAGAATAATACTTTATACTATTTCGTAATATACGAAGAAAAAAACAATTAGGTGTCATGTACATTATAGAGAACAATGTTTATGAGACTTCTACATAGGTGTTTTTTTTAAATATGAGTTAATTAAATGTTAGTTATATAAAAAAAATATAAATATAAAATGCTTTTATTGTAACGAGCAGTATAATTAAAATAGAACTAAGTCCGATGGGGTTGTTTCGGAAATATTGTTCTCTAAAAATTCCATAAAATGTGAAATCATAGTTTAAATATCTTTTCGTAAATGTGTTTACGTCGTTGAACTTAATTTTTCATGTGCTCTGATTTAACATGATTGTATAAAAATATAAAGTCAATGGTTACAATCGTGACAGATAATATTATCATAATGATAAATATCTGTATTAACATAATCACTATAGGCCGAAACGATGGTATGTCGTATGTTAATATTTTTTCACCTTAAAACTTGGTTTTTTGACTTGGGCAAATCAATTTTATCAACGTAGTCAAGTGAAAAAAAAAACTAAAAAAAAGTAGAAAATACCTATTAAATATCTATAAATAACATAAAAAGAGCCAAAATATTTTGAAATGTATATCCTATGTTTATAAAATTCTGAAATAACTATTTGGTGACAATGCCAACGTCGAGTCTCTACGGTTATATATTTTATAATTACAAGTTACAAAAAAAAAAAAAAAAAAAAATCGATTTTGTCAAAAACTGGTTTGGCGTATTTATATTACATACCTTATTTGTGTTACTTGTATTTATATTTTTATTTTTTTGCCACAAACAATCCTCAAAACGAAAGTTTGTTTTTACTGCTATTTAAGGTAAAGTCGGAATGTCAGGCACACAAAAAAACACCACTGTAGAACCAATACATTCATCACTCCTAACAGAATCCAAATTTAATTTAATTCTCATGTTTGTTGTTTACATTTTGCTTCTAAAAAATAGTATTTTCTTAGTAGCTAGTAAGTTCATTTAACTTTGAGTAACTCAAGTCCCTTAAGCACTATAAAACAAACCTTGGTGTATTAATACTCATCCAACATTCCGTTGCTTAAATTTAACATAAAATCTAAATTTCTTTTATCTATAAGATGATTAAAGATGTTTGTTCAATATATTTTATTTTAGTCAATACTCAAAATACGATACACAATTTGACAAAAGTATTTTATACGATTAAGTTAGCTGTGATTTGGTTTTTTTTTAATTCATAGTTAAATATAAAAAATATGTAGGTAACCATGCATGTAAAATAATATTGATGTACACCCATATTGTACATATACATTACATATTATATAGGTTTAGAAAACTATGATCTATTATAGGTATTTATACCTATTTATTGAAATATTAATGTTTTTGTTTTAAAATTGTAAACAGTATTAAAATGTATTACTCATTTTATTTTTACCAAAAAGAATCATGAATTAATAAATAATTTAAGTTTAACAAGTGTGTGAATAATTATAACTTAGGTACCAGTCCTCCCTCATATTTAAAATGTAGGAAACACAATAACAATTTACAAGAATTAATTCTTTAATGTTAATACTATCTTTATTGATTTGTATATTATAATCATGTATAAAAACTGCTAACCAGTAACCTGTTATTAACTGTTGAGAATAATATAAATTTAAGTTTACAAATTAATATTTAATAATAATAATAATAATAATAATGAATAATGATCAGTATACCTATACTGTACCATGATCAAGTGATTTATAGAAGTATTTGTTTTAATAAAATTCGGCGGTATGCCTTGTGTAAAAATGAATTGCACCCGTGTAATTTAATAAATAATTAAACAGGGTTTATGTATACAAGAAAATGTATATTATTATTATTATAATAAAACATTATATAGTATTAAAATAAAATTAATACTATTTCAAAATGTAAATCTAGTAATAATATAATAATAGGTATGGAAAAAATTAAGTAAATATAGTTATATTAACTTATACAATTAATAATGAAAATGAAAAAAAAAAATGTCCAATGCATAAAAACTTAAATAATAATACCAATATAATTAAAAACGTAATACTTATTACAATTTATATAATGCAATGGAAATAGTCAATACAATATGAATGTATGTATTAAAGTCAGTAAGCACTTTTATGGGCCTACGTCCGTTCTTCGAGTGTCACGTGGATTCCGTTCAGTGCGTTCAATACGATTTCCCCAACAAGCCCCAACTTTTCTTCTGGGTCTATTGACTTAACTCTGTATGATTTTATAACTGTGGCGACAGCTATTTTGAGAACGATCATTGCGAACTTTTGTCCTATAACAAGTCATTGAAATACCATATAGCTACACGTTGGATTATTAATTATTTTGTTTCGTGTTATTGGATGAATTTGGTTTGAATAGTAGTTTGAACCACGTTTTATTTATACCAAATACTATACCCAATCCACAAATAAATGATTCACCTTGGTCGATTTAGTTTGCAAAGCTACCCAAATTTATTTGTAAGCTGAGGTACCTATAGGTATAAGTACACTAAATAATTTTCATCGTTGACAGGTAATATTTTTTACTTGATTAAATTTACTGCCAAAACCGCTTATTATCATATAATTTTGAATTATTTTTGTTCATTATAACTTATAAGTTATGAGAATATATTATACAATTTAGGAAAAACAATTATCTAAACAACCAAATTGTAAAAATGAATTAGCGAATTAAACTTAAGTAAATGGGACCCCGCTTATAATTATTTTCAAAGTTCCGAATTTCTTGAAAAAAAAAATATTTTAAAATTATAAATATGTGTAACTGTGTAAGTCAGACTACATCGATTATATTGTATTATTATACCAACAAATACAACTATCATAATTTAGCAAAAATTAATAATATAACAATTTGAACAAGAAGAAAAATAATTTATTCAAGTTTAGAAAACATATATATATATATATTGAAAAAATATAGTAATAAGTATTTTAAAAATGTGTCCAATAAGCAAATTGGGGATCGAATAACGATTTCCATAAGAATCGGGTCTGATTACCTTGATTTAAAAAAAAAAAAAGGAGAGTGTGTGAGCGCACCATTACACTCTGGGGAAGTAAAACTTCTTTCATATACGTATTAGGGCCCGTGAAATTATAAGTGAATTAGGGAGAGAGTGAGAAAAATCAATGGAATAAAAATAAACGTGCATGACTTGCAAAATAAATAAATAAACAAACGTGTCGTTTCATTTTTCGTTAGGATTTTTTTTCCACCCCCACCTCAAGAAAGGAATTTTACTTCAAAAAATCATGAACAAGAGTACTACAATTTTTTATGGGTATATTATAGATTTCTACACAAATATATTAAAGCCCTGTTTACTTTTTATCATCGAAATCAAAATATATAACTTAGGTTTAAATGTTTCTATATTTACCAATACAGTTCCTCGATCCTGCACTAAACGGTACGAAGGCAAAAAGATGTCGCTCTTCTTTTTTTTCCTCTAAAAATCGGTCAGGATCAAACTTTTCCGGGTTCTCAAAATGTTTTTCATTTCTGTGTAAAGCAAACACGTTTATGAAAATTGACGTCCCTGGCAAAATAGTGTGATCACCTGCAAATATTTATTTACAATGAAAATGTTAATATCATGTAACAGTTAAATATTTATAAGGAAAAAATGGACTTTTGACACACTGTTTTTGAATGGCGATTGTCTGTAGCAAGTGTTTAAAATATATAATAATCATATTCAACTGCTTATGGTAACAATTACTATCGCTTTTAAAAATCAAGTTTGGAAGGAGATGTTTTTTAATGAATAACTGACTGACTAGTGATTTATGCTAAGATCATGTTACACATAGTTTGTTCTTTAAAAAATTATTTCAGTTACCTATTGTATTTTAAAATGTAGTTGTGAAATTATAGTATCAGACGTACCTACATACAACATTAATGAACATATTAATATATTGACTACCTATAGTTAATTAAGGAGCTTAATATTTTTTTTACACATTTTAAAAAACTGGTACATTTGGTATAATATATGACTACTGATTTCGAAATTAGAAACATTTTTTTAATAAAAATAAAAATACTTGAATTTTTAAATATTACTAATATTATTAAAAACTGTAAATGCAAATACAAAAATTTGAAGTCATAATTATCTTTTAAATGTAATACTTAATTTTAAGAAACATCAGTACTATGTAAAACATTGAAATTCTAATAACCTTCGCTGTTGAAACCTTTATCCTTTAAATTAAAAAAAAATATATATATATACTGATTTTTCTAAGTATGTTAGTATTTTTATAACTAAATAGTATTTAAATATTTAAAGTCTTAAAATAATTATATATTTATTATTTTATTACCAATTGTGAGTGGTTTGTATATTTGTCTACCAATAAATGGGACGGATGGATAAAGTCGTAGAACTTCTTTGATTGTTCTCCCCAAATAGTCAAGACTGCTTAACATATTCACTGTTAAGTTCCCATCACCGAAATTCGGAATTTTTTGGTTTAATTCTTCCACTATTTTATCTTGTACATGTGGATGTTTACCCAAGACATACATTATAAAAGACAAAGTGACAGAAGTTGTATCAACTCCCTGATAAAAAAAAAAAAAAACCAAAATATTATTACAAAATATAAAAATAATATTAAGTCATAAATCAAGTTCAGTTCATTAATCTTTGCATATCTTTGTTTAAAATGGTATATGCGGTTACCGCAAACATGAAAGTGTCAACTTCTTCTTGAATATCCTCATCACTTAATACTGTTCCGTCTTCGGACACTTCTATCAATAAATCTAATAATGCTCTATTAGGTTTTTTTTCTAAGGATGAAATAAAATTATTACAATGCTATCAACACATATCACAGTGTAATTTTTACCATGGTGAATTTCATTTTTATTTGCATCTGATGTCTGATTGTTGAATAGTCTAAAATTGTCCTTCCTCTCTTTTATAACCTGTAACAAATTTACAATATATACTGATATATAATACAAAAAATTACCTATAGTGAGTAAGTACTAATTTATAATTTATTATAATACTGAGGATAATAGCTAATTTCAATTACCTTTCTTGTGAATGTATGGATGACGTCTATACATGCCTTTTGTCTTTTACTAAGAGATGTTAAGTTGAATAATAAATTTGGTTTCAACCATGGTGTTATAAACCGTTTCTGCATGATTGCAGTAAGCCTGAAATTAAAAATTGAAATATTAATTTTACATTGGAAAATGGTTATTTTTATGATAACTCGTTATTATTATAATTGTTTTGATAAATTATAAATAAAAAAGTTTTATAATTCGTAAATGTTTTATGCATAAACCAGCGTTTAAGGGTTGGAAACTATATAACAGTTGCTATTTAAATTATTTTATTTCGTGTTATCAATTTCTCATCACAGTTCACTGTTCAGATAGTTTTGTATAACTAATTATATAATTTTCGATGCAATAAATGTTATATTAATCTTGGTATGTACTTAAAATTCTACTCACTCGTCCAGAGCTTTAACATATTCCAGTTCGGAATTCTCCTGTGAGTTTATCTCACATCCCATGGCTGTGCTGCCGATGGTATCTAGTGCGGCCAATTTGGCGTAGGGCTTTATATCGAATCCATTAACGTTATTTACCTCTTTTCTTAACACCTTTACTAAGGTTTTAATCTGTTTTTCTATTAATGGTAAGAATCCCTCGAGAACCTTTTTATGAAATGTTGGTGTCAATAACTTTCTTCTTGTATGCCATTTCGATCCTGAGTTTAACAATACACAATGATAATATATTTATTATTTTGAATAACATCATATTTATGCACATAAATAAACTGGTGTCTAATTTATTTACAAAACAGAAATATTATTATATTATTATTTTGCGTTTTTATTATTCGTACCTGGGTACGATATTCAGTTGAATATTATCAACAGGTAAACTGTTTTGGTGTATTCAACGATGCGTATCATGTCCGTGTGTGAATTAAAATGTAAAATATCATTTTAAATCTACCATTGTTTACTGTAGGTAATAATTTTATTCTATACCTACTCTATTCTCACTCGTTTCCTGTTACAAGTCTAAGTAGCTTATGCACAAGTATGTGAATGTGTCGATTTTCTATTGGTATATTCGAGTGGTTTCCGTAATTATTTCTTAATACTTGGCGAAAATTATAATGTCGAATATAATATTTCTTTTACGAATTTGCGATTATTATTTGTTTTCATTTTATAATATCATAATTCATGGTACTTACTACTTACACATATTTCGGGCAATAGAAATTATAATTATACAAAAAAATTGTATATGAAAAAAAAAATGTGACATTTTTTGTTGTTTTTTAACTTGGTCATAAAAACGTGTGCTTGTATAGTATCGATATTTTTTAAGTATCATGGTTAGATTTTAGAATAATAAAAGATTAATTATTATGATAAATAAATTACAGTCGAAGTTTCATAACTCGAATTTCAAAGGAGATAAAAATTAATTCAAGTTGTATAAAATTGTGTAGGTAGGTATATGAATTTTTTTAAATGACAAGAAAAAGATATGAGTTCTAAAAGTCGGGATATTGTACTAAAATTTCAAATATTTAAAAAAAAAATTAAATATTTTCATGAAATCAAAAGTATCAGATATATCAAATCGATTAACTCTGGGAAGTTTTCATAAATTTCAATCATATTTTTAAACAACTTTTAATGTTAATAAACACGAATAATTAATTTAAAGCTTTCATTTTGTTTTATCATTACTCTCAATTAGCGCTACTGGCGCATAGTAATTCTTAATAGATACCACTTGACATTTTAAACTATATAGGTCCGCGATGAGCTCATCTTGTTCAAAAAAATCTGTATATTGGGACACGGAAGCTCACTATACTTTGTGTTATTATAAAATTGATACTGTTGTATAAGTGTATTGTTGTGGTAGTGTTTGACCTTGAGTAGCAAACAGCAGACACTGCTAACCTATGTCTAACGGAGCCATATACTTGCAACGGGTCAAGGACACGTTACATGCACTTTACGTCTTCTAGCCTACTCCGTACTTTTATTGTTGTCTGATATGTTATTAGTGTTTCAGTTCTTGATACAATTATAACTTTAAGAGTAGTAATCAAAAATGATATAATCATTGATTAGAGCACGTTAAATCTTATAACACAGCAAAGTAATCCGACATTGGCCGTGAATTAGTTAATATGTAAATGCAGTAGGTAGATAGTTAATAAAATAAGTCGATACAATGGTATTTTGTTTGGGTTTTCTAGTGAGTTTTTGAAAAGTGTACCTAATGAGTACACAGCACTGCTAATTTTACATATGCCTAATATGATATAGGTAATAGTTAAATATTAATTTTTGATAAGATTAATTAAAAAAATAATATTACCTAGGTACCTATGTCATTACATATATAAAAAAAAATGTTTATATTACATTTATCTTACCTATTTACAAACGATTATTATTATTATAAAATGTATGTAATTAGGCCTGGACCGTTTAAAACTTAAATTTAAAAATTTAAAAAAATATTCTAGCTTTAAATTTTTTTGATCAGGGCATAGTACCACATATGTATAATATTTTATTAAGGTGTTAACGACATATTAAGTCATACTTATGAGAAATTGTTCATATTTTGTTAATTTGTTATGACTTATTAGTTATTAGGCCTTAGCAATTGGCTCTTCACTAAACAGCCAGAAATTCTAATTTTACGATACTATAACCTAATGACTAAATGGAAATAAACAGGTACGTAAGGCTGTTAACGGTTCATAATTTAAAGAAAATTGACTATGTAGAAATACAAAAGTCATTGTAAGTCCATATCAAAAGTAAATTGCACAGTATAAAAAGTTTGCACTAGAGCTGAAATAATTAGTATAATATATTTAAATACTTGAAATAGACAATAGTATAATACAGTGGACTAATTGACTTGGCAATGTGATACCCCGCTCTAAATGTACCTAAACTTTGCCCGGTGTTTTTGGGAAACTCATTACAATACATTTTTCCCGGACTGTAATTCTGGCTATTGTACCTTTAAATCATGAAAATTTAATTAAACTACCAACTTTAAAGATATAATATTTTCTACCTAACGTATGCGTATAAAAGATCTATAGTAAAAGTGTAGTACGCTGTCTGCGTCTGTTTGTTAACCCAATTCATTCATTATTTTACTTAAAGCTCCTATTAGCAGTTCATTGACTTATGCAAATAATAAAAGTTATTTTTTAACTAAAATAAACGATATACTTTTTTATTAAAAGTAGTAGTTTCTTACATTATAATGCATAATATGCATATATTGTGTATTATGTAAGTTTATTGCATTATTACTTATCTGATACGTGTATAAAGTATATATTCTCTTAGGGAGAACGATAATACGGTGTTGTAATTAGGATTGATATAAAATTTAATCTCTTTATATTGTATAAATAAAAAAGGCCAATACGAGCTATAGGTCATAGATGGATAGTTTTAAGAAAAATATAAACAAAGATAAATTGACCACTAATGAACATTTTAATTATTATTTACGATACTAATATCCATTATCAATTGTCATCGTGGTTCGTAGTTTAGGTCAGGATAACAATGTTTGATACATGTATCATCAAAGCCATCAAGTGACGTAGGTATTTGATTTAATGAATTCATTAATTCATTACTGTGTATACTTTATAAGAAATGAAATTTATGCTTCGTAATTGTATTATATAATTCTATAAATATGAACAAATTATATAAGATTATTAGCAATGTAAAATAATATACTAGTTTCTTTTTCAAAAGTATGTTTTATATTGACAACAATTATTGTTATCTATTAGTGCATAACAATATTAATTGATATCACTATATTGTACATTTCTATAAAAAATCTAAATATTAAATTTATAGTTCATTTTTTTTACCGGATTTTCTATCTCATATGAATAATCAACTAAGTACCTATATTACAACTAGGTAATTTTTGTGTGTATATTGTTTTTCTTAAAACTTTTTTTACCTGTACTGGTCACTAGTCCTGTACCGATAAACGGAAGCAGTAGGTTATACTCCAAATTCTTGTCAATATGAACTGTAGACTTCAAAATTTGCTGAAATAAAAGTTTAAAATTAAAACATGACTTAGGCACTTCCTTACATTAATTTATTATAAGCATAACAGAAAAAAATATAGGGATATTATATATTTTTACAAGACAAATTTATATTTAAAATGCACATCATTCGTAATCAGTGTGGCACTTTCAACCACGTTTGATTGAAAATTACAATGTTAAAAATTTAAGTCTTCTTCAATATTTTGTGTAAATTTACCCAAACATAAGCTTAATGCATATTAGTTGATACATTTTCTTTTTACAATGATATAGATACAAAGTGCCTATTGTTATTACAGTGGAACCTTGGATAAGCCAAAACCTTAATAAGTCGAAATAAATTCCCTTATCTTGCTTAATCTAACCTAAGCTAACATAACCTTAGTAAGTCGAAAACCTCTACAAGTCGAAAAAATTTAATTTTCCTCGAATTTCAACTTATAGATGTTCTACTGTATATAGTAGGTAAACAGTAATCACTAGCGCTTAAACTTTTTGTAGGCACCTATTAATTAACACAAGATTACTATATTTTACTATACACTGATCTCAACAGTTCACTAATTTTTTTGCACTACCTAAACCTAATTATTAAAAAATAAAAGCAAATTAAATTTACCAGTGCTTTAAGTATTACCTAATTGTGCAATTATGCTTGGTATAGGTAGTTAAAAAAATTATCTTTTGAATAGATACCTAATACTTATACTCTTGTAAAATATTATAGGTACTTAACCACCAAAAATAAAGTTTCTTGTTTTTTAATTATATTTTTGTGATATTTGTTAGTTATCCACACCTATAGCTTAAAAACTGACTAGTGACAACTTAAAAAAAAATAGTACCAAAAAAAAAGATATGTGCATAATATAACAAACCAATAGGCAATAATATAATATTTTCTTATTTTAACGCTGGATAACTGAATATTGTATCTACTTTCTGAGTTCTCCTATAAATATTTAAAATTTTATGCTATCCTAATTAATTAAATCTTGGCGTGCTACATTACTTCAACAGAATATTGACAAATTTACACGAAGCAATACTTGTGAAATGTATGAATTTAAATAATCAATAGTAAACATAAATGAAACATTATTTTTAATATATATATATCATATATAGGTATACACAACTTTAACTAGAAGATAATAGTATTTTCAAGCCACGTGTAGAGTAAATATACAAAGTAATGCCATAAACACAAAAGTATAGAACCTAATGATAAGCTCAATTAATATAAAACAAGGAAGGTCGTTGACAAAATGCTACCACAAGCTATGCACAGCAATTACTATAAGTGTGTATTTTTTTTTCCGATAGGCACGTGCAATCGTACATGACCTAAAAACAGTGAAACATTAGGTACCAAATATAAGTTGACAACAGATAGGTATTTACCTGTGAATACTATAAAAGTAAAACTAAATTTATATTACTTTGAAGATTTAGACTTATAGTATTCAAATACGAAATCGAAATGATTGAATAATCTTTGATATATGTAATTATTACTCTACAAGAGAACTGTCCATAAATATATAGGGGTGAGTGATGGCTGAGGGTACTGCAGCCACCTCTAAGCGAGAAATAAACTATCTCTGTATAAATAATGATAGTATTAGGTTATTATGATAGTTAATCTATTGATAATCGAAGAATTTTTATCAAGCGAGATCGGAGATATTATGATTAATAGTTTCATGTTTTTAAGAATAAGAAATGTTATTTTTTCAAACCAAAATGACTGTTACTACATCATAATTTTGTTTGGGATTGCCCTTCTCGTAAATATGTTTTAAAATATATCTTTAACTTTGGTAATATGACATATACGTAGTTTGAATACAAAAAAAAAATAATATTTTATGTATTTTGGGTTGTAGTAGGTACACATAAGCAAGTAAAACTACCGTAAAAATATTTAGTTTATAATGATGTTGAAATTTAATATTTTTCTTGTAAGAAAATGCGATAAAAAAATTATAAGGAATTTTTTCTGTTAACAATTATATTATGATAATCAAGTGACGTCGGATATATTATACTACAATAACATTATTTTTTATACCAAAGTGTTAGTAGGAATACCTCAAAATATAATAGCTTTTTAGATATTACCCACTGACCGGTTTTCGTCCATTCAACCCTAAATAACAATATGCTTGTTATTCATTATACCTATACACAAATCAATATTAAATTTAAATTCTTAACTCGTACATTTTAACACCTATAATTATATTTGGTATATGTGGTACATATTCAACCTATATTTTTAATTTTCAAGTATACAATGTTGTGTAGCTTATTTTTGAGTTTTTTCATTCTATTCATTAGGTAAATGCTTGGATTTGGAATGTGTGCTGAGGGGCGAAGATAAACTATTCATTTTTTAGATATTTTGAGCAACCCCTACAAAATACTAGTTAGAGTGGTACTTTCTTTTTACAAAATATTTTATTAACATACCTATAATATTATATTACCTAGTGATTTTTATTTAGCATAATTGTATTGACTGAGATATTCAATTGCAATTTGATGAACTAGCTAAATTTTATTTTGGTATTGTAAATCTATTATGAAATTAAGTTTAGTAGAAATATGAATTATTATACATTTAATTAATTCAAATTATTTTGAAGGTGAATAAATTACTATTGTTAAGAAATATTTTTTTTAATCTCTAGTAATAGTACTTACTACTTAGTCATTAATTATATAACTAATAAATACTCTAATATTGTAATACTATTAATTGTTTGAGGATTAATGTTTGGGGTAAGTAGGAGATTTGCCCCCCTAGGCTGAGTTGAATAAATTCAAAAAACGCTAATTTTCTAATAGTCCTCCTTTTATTTCTCCAAGTAGATCACTGATGTACAGACAATGTGTAAATTATATTTTAATAAGCAATGTCAGCTCACTAAATGCACAGACAATTTATTGAGTATTATAATTTTAGTAAATAATGTCTATTCATTCAATGTATAGACAACAATATAATGTTTACAATAATCGGTATCATAGTCAAAAAATACATTATAGAAACCATTTACTGAAATCGATAAAATTTATTTATTTTTCTAAGTAACCTATATTGGATATTATTATAGTTTACAAATTTAAATCATGATTTAAAAATTAAAATAAACCACATAGTTATATTGTTTGATACAATTTAAATATAGGTATAGGTACCATTGTACCAGTACCGTAATCCACGGCTAATTGTAATTTTTACTACATAATTAATGTGATAAATATTATTCTATACACCTGCCTGGCTGATAATTATTGTATTCATTTAAAAGATTTCTATCAATTAACTTAATAAAAAAATGTTCGTATTAAAATAAATAATTTATCAATTACCTGAATATGATCAGCATCAGCCATTGCTATGAATGGTCGAAGACCAATCCATAGTTGATACGTGTCTCCAAATTTTGAATGCCATTCGAGTAAAAGTCTAAAGAAATCTATAAAAGAAATAAAAGAAAATTTATATTAGTAACGTATTTACATAGATAACTGAGCGTTTTGTAACAATACAATAACTATTATTAAAGATTTTAAGTCCAATATGTATGTTTATATTTGGTGTATATATTATGCGCAACGCACTATTGGCATAGGTACAGGGACAGATAGATAGGTACTTTCAAAAAATGTATGTAAATACGTCTTCGTAATGATTTCAAGTTTGAATTATGCTATCCATTCTACATTTCCAATTATATCGGTCTAATTTGTTTTATATCGTAACTGAATCATCCTTTATTTCTTGGCCACCACTATAATATATAAGAAATTGAATAGGTGGTAAAGAAGAGTGTCGTGCAACTAATTAATAATAGTAAGTTTGTCGAATAAATACCACGTTATACCATTGGAGTATATTGTACGAGCACTCGGATCGGTATTATACTGTTATATTACAGCAATATTATTGTTGTTGTATTGTATTAAAGATAATTGCGCAATGTTTTGTTTATACGATTCGAGATCACAACCATCGAGCAAGAGCGCAGTGGTTTTTACCGAGAACGAGTTCCATTACACAGAAACAATATATCTAATATTATAATATTATAATAATATGCATAATATTTTTATTAGAAAATAGCGTCGAAAAGGCGAGTGCAGTTTTTTTCTCCGTCGGGGGCCGAACATTCGGTAATTTTTCGCCAAAAGACTAAACAAGAAGCGGAGGACGAATAAAAAACCCATTGACACCGCACCGATCATGTTCATCACATCGTTTATTTATTCTGCAGTAGTAGTGCGGTGACGACTTCGGGTCGTCGAGTGATCGTAGTAATCCATAGCAGGAGATCATCAATGAATAGTATTATTTTATGCGCAACATAAAATATTATATTTTATCGGCTGCTATATAATAAATTGTAGGGTAAGAACGACGGTCGCGACGATGAAGCGCACCATCCGCGGGTCTCGTCCGGTTCTTTACGCGATGATGGCGGCCACGTTGCTGGTGGTCGAAGGGGCGTCGGAACTTGCGGAAAATGTCACTTCCGGACTCGATGAAAACGCCACTTCCGGACTCAGGGAAAACGCCACTGCCCCGGTCGTCTGGATGGGCTCAGCGACGACAGCGGTTAAAGGCAACCCTCACAGGGGTCCCAGACAGGCGGAACAACGCGATCAAAGGTGCGCTCTGCCGTCGTTCATCGGCGGCGGCACGAGCAGCGGCGAAACAGCAGATACCGTGCTGGAGTCGACCCGGACCGTTGATCGGTACCTAGTGAAACCCGCGGCGTACTACGAAAACCGTGTGACGTACCGAGAGAAACCGGCGGTGGCCAACGTACTGATGCGCCGGCGGAGGCCCGTCCCGGTGCAGAGGATAAGCCTTTTGCCGTATTACGTTCAACGCATGGAATTTGCAGACCGCGGACGTCGGCCGCTTGACGGCCAAGCTGCAGTGTCGATGACGGGCGACGACGTTCGCCGATTGCTCCAACGCGTTTATTCCGAAGGTGTGATCGCGGGCGGCGAGGGGGCTGCAGCGGGACAGAACTTCGATTCAAAGGTTTTGCCCCTCAAAGGTAGTATAGTTCGTCATCGCCGACGGCTGTTATTATCATTTATATCATAATCGGTATTTTGGTCGTTATTAAACGAGAAATATTAAAACAAATCACTCTTTAATTGCTACTATTAATTTTACAATTTACTTATATTTTTCTGCATCTACTTTTATAACTTATCTTAGATATATGTGAATCGGAATCGGACCGACTATGGTAAATCTTACTAGATAAAATATTTAAGTACCTAGCTTGACCATTTGAGTTTAAACAATAAGAGGATTTTCAATACAACAAAAAGAGCCACGTTGGTCAATCTTCATACATCATTTTTTAAGCTGGGTTTTAGGGGAAAATAAATATTATGATAGTGTCTTCCAAACAAATTCGAAGGTATTTTAGAGCAACCCTTACAGGAGAACAAATTATATCACAAAAATAATAAAAGGTACCTAAGTCAAATAATATGTTTAATTTGAATACTCGACCTTGTATATTGAATCATTGAATCAAATAATATTTCAATAATAATTCGTTATGTATATACCTTAGTTAATAACTGAACAAAAATATTAAATGTAAAATACCCCATTCATAATAAACCAATAAACCTATTTGAAATTTGCATATAACTGTACATAATATTATATAATTATGTGATTTCATTATGCCATAATATTAAGTATTAAACATAAATTATTTTTCAGGTTGAAAAAACGGCAGGCAGTATCATATTAACGTATGATTCTGGAAGGCAAATACTCTCGATGCTTATTGCAGAAGAACCATATTATGATAAAGTATGAATATATTATGCTAGTATCACTATATCTACATGAATTATTTAATATTTTCATATTTATTATTTCTAATAATTATTCAAATTATATTTATAATTTATTTTTTTTTTTATTAGTTACCAATATTACAATATTTAAAAAAAGATTATATCAAAGATAGTAAACTATTTTTAAATTCGATTAAATGCTTAAGGATAAAAAATCTGTTGATTAAACAACTTTTTGTTTATTAAAGAGAAAATATTATCTATAAGATATTATTAGCATTAAAAACATATTTTTTTTAAATGCTGAATTCATTTCTTTTTCTATCTTATTATGTATTTATGAAAGGTATGCATAAACACAACCATGACATTGGCAATGTGTGCAAAATGCAGTCCCATATTACTGTTTATTTCACTTTCTAAGTGCAACAATATTCAGCACAAAATTTGACCTATTAAAAAAAAAGTACAATATAAATATATATATTGCGTTATTTACCATATTTACAATTTTTTTTAACGTATTCATAATACCACCGTGTCAGACAGTCTAGACACATATGTTTAATACATTTCAATTATAATTTGCAAGGATAAAATATGAACAAATGAGATTTATTTTAAGTAAATTATAATACCTTCAAAGGTAGGTACCTACACCTAACAAACTTAACTGATATTTACTTTCACCGTCTACATTTTTCCGATAATCATCTTCCGTGTTTATAAAATATGTTTTATTCATACGAAAGAGGAAATTATGACGTTTGTGAACTAAAATAAACAAATACATTTGTCATTAACATATTGATTTCATATTCTCATACGTCACTATAATGCACGTATAATGTAAGTGTTATTATACTTATGCATTATTATTTGTTATAGATACTTATTATATTTTCAACATTTTACTGAGTGACATATATTTGAATTTTTTATGTTTAAAATTTAGTAAGTATTGCGTTTTAAAATAAAATTTTAATTTATTTACAACTATATCGTTTTGCAAATTTAGTCCGTGGAGTTTATCACATTATAACCTATAATGTGTGGTATTTTATTTTTTATCAAACATTATCAATAACGAATAATACAATTTATTCAGAACATAGGTACCATTAGGTATTTGGGTATTCTATTGATGACATTAAATTTAAAATATCCACTCTTACAAAATACCCTATTTCTACAATCGTAATTCACAAATATTTACTTAAAAGCCACACCTACCTCCTAAATAGTGCTGCGTAGTGTTCAGTGTTCAGACCTAACGTGCACTTAAAATATGTATGGAATTTTGATGACCATTAGTAAAACGATTTTAATGAAATCTATACCCTGCACGGAGAACATCGGTAATGTCATTAGCTAAATGTTCCTTAAGGTGTACTATAATAGTATCTTATAAGTATACTTCTTAGAGTTATTCTTGTCAAAAATTCTCAATATATTGATAATAGTACATTAAATTTGATAGCTTTGATGGTTAGATATCGTTATTTTTTTACTTAAGTGAAAATTTTTTCATTTTTCATTGTGTTTTCAAATTTAACCTTAACTAACAGACAACAGTAAACATTAAAAGTAGGTATAGATTTAAATTTGAAATAGTGCAAATTTAATTTAAGTTGTATAAAAGAACAAAACAATGTATAGTTATTCCGAGATACATTTGAGTTGTTAAGTGCTTACATACGAGAAGGTTAAAGATGATATAATTGGTATCTGCCAAGACAGAATTAGTAATGTTGCTCTTTTATAAGTTCCAATTTTAAAATGTAAAAAATAACCAAAGATAAAAATATATTCAAGGGCGATCACAAGAAAATAGTTTAGGGGACTAAGGTTCGTTGATCTATAGAAATAATCATTATTAAACAGACTCTAATCCCCGTAAAAATGTTTACATAATAAAATTGCTTTTTAAATTTTGAATACAAATATTCATTACATATACATACCACGTTGCGTTATTATTATAAATTCATGGGGAGGATAGACCCTTGCCACCTGTCCTCTACCTCTGCCAACAGATGCCCTTGGAACAATTATAAGAAGAAACTGATCTGTAGATACGTATTATGTTTAAGTGGTTTACTGGTAATTTAATATAATGCTTTATGAAGATACCCTTTTTTCACACAATGAATCGTCCTCAAAATATTTCCTACTCCCTTCTAAATTGTTTACTATTTTAAATTTAATTGATATAAAACCAAGAAATTATTTGACTATTAACTGCGCTAACTAATGGAAGGAATTTGATACTATAGTGATTTTAATTACTGAATTAACAATTAAAAAAAAAAATTAAAAAATATCGGAATCCAAAAACAATGCATTTCTTTTATCATAACCGATATAACAATATATTGAAAAACTATATATTAAAACTAAATATTATATTATAAGGAATAACTATACAAAAATCCAGAGAAATCGGTTCAGTAGTTTTCCCGGTAAGCGGTGACAAACTAAAAATCGCTTAATACTTTATGCAATAGTATAATATATGGGTATGTAATATTGTAATTTCTAAATATGTTTTTTACATTGGTATAGTGCCTATCTAAGGTTTCAATTTTTTTTAACAGCAAAACGAAAATCGATTTAATTACATTAGTTATACTATTTGTAAGCTTAAGCAAAAAATAAATTCCACTGCCATTTACATGATAAGAGTAGGTAGTGATAGAGAAAGTCAAATAAATCTGCATTGTTTTTTAAATAATGAGGAATTATGATTAAATTAATAGTATGAATAAAATAATATAATATCGATAACCTATTTATTGCATTAAAATTTAAAATACTTTTAAAAAAAATATAAAATGTATGGATAGTTAGGTATGTCATTTTTGAAAAATAATATGTAGGTATAGTAGGTACTTACGTATTAAAAATACAAAAATTATATACGCAGCTCTCAATAATAGACAAGATATGTGAATTAACATTCAAATTTTCGGAGGTTTAAATTTAGTAGGTTTCAAGTATATTGAAAAAAAAAAAATAAGTTATTTAAAAAGTATATAATCTAAAAACGTATTTTTGAAATTGACATAGGTACATATTATATTATACATTATAGTACCTATTATAACGTACCATGCATCAACCTTTATCTCGGTATTATTATTTTTTTTCTATGCATACCATTGATATAGACTATACTGTCTACGTATACCTATATAGGTAGGTATACGTTTCATTACAATTGAAAGTACACTATAAATCAATAAAAATTATAATTTAAAAAGTATCAAAACGGAATACATCTTTGATAGTAAACAATATTATTATGACACGAACTAATATCATGTATAGACATTTTCTATAAAATAAGAACTCTCGTAATATTTGAATTTTGTATAATATTTTGAATTGCGTATGTTTGTAGGTACATAATATATAAATTTGTTTTCTTTTTTATTAGAACAAACAAGTATAAACCTTTGTACAATCTGTAATAAAATGTATAAAATAGGTAATATGTGGGGTACAAGTATATATGACTGGACGGCATTATAGAAGGGGATGGGCTTATGACTTCATAATTATGGGCGGTTTTGTTTTATGGTTTTTTTTTTTTTTTAAATGTTTGTGTTGTTTTTAAAATTTTTTTTTTAATCTTGAGGAGGTCCCTGGGCCAATTTCGTTTAAGACGGCGTAATTCGTTATCAGGAATGGTACATAATATATTACAATTAAATGCTTCTGTCTTTATTAATACATTTGTACAAACATAAAATGTTTTCGTTATTCAACTTTCAAAACAATTTTATACTTACAAGAAAAGTGTTTATTATTTACATTACCTACTAAACCACTTCAGGATATTAATTATAGATGTACAGTATGTAGTCAACAGTTAAATTATATTAAAGTTGAATAAATGTTATTATTTTCAGTTACAGACGACAAATATATGTAAATATAGAAATCAACACTAGATGGGTAATCTTATAAGTTATTATACAAAAAAGACCAAACTAATAAATATATTTCATTTATATCAATATGTCTTGTATACAAATTAACAAAATATAATAATAAACATAACTACCTACATATTATATATTATACCTAACATATTAATATATTATAATATAGGAACCAACTTTACAAAAACAAACTATATTAACCTAGTTTAGCATTGGTATATTTAAAACATAGTAGTATTTCCATTATAAAATTAGTAGGACAAGTAGGTAATCGGTGGAGGTTCGCTTTAATCTTTGGTTAATTTTAAGTTTGAAACATAATTATTATAAAATTCAAGTACTTATTTAAAATAATTTTATCTCATTAGGTATTTAGTCTATACCTACGTCCTTCGTTAATCTATAATAGACATCTCGACTGTATGACTTGTTTGCTATCAATAGCTGATTAATCAGCTGAACTACATAATATTCCTAACCGATTCTCGTTTAACAAATACTTTTGTTTTTTCTATCTATTCAGATAATTGAAACTTGCACTTAAATAGGTACCGACCCACTCTAGTTAAAACTTAGTACTTAGCTAAATCATTGCAATATACACATTACACTATGTTGTAAAATATATTATTATCTGCAATAAATCCACTATGTATTGAAACAAAAAGTGTAAAAAAGTATATTAGATATATTATTTTACATTATTTTTAATTACTGTAATTTATTACTAATTATTTCATATTCGTATGATAGTAAGTTAATAGATTTAATAAAATACTTTATATTTATATAATATACGAATTATTGTTGTAATTTTATATACGAGTGTTTTTGTATCATAATTATTATGACTTATAAATTGTAAATTAAATAGTTATACGAAACACAGACACATCATAATAATATGTACCTATATATAAAGTTTTCTACAACTTTAACATAAGTCTTGTACAACTGTTAAAAATCCATTCAACGAATTAAAATTGTAATTTGTTATTTATACAAGTAAGTAACTTTTTTTTTTTAAGTTTATTATTACAAATTTGTTAATTAATTAAATTAACATAACATATTTAAATTATGAATAAAATGTATGGCTTAGGCGCTTATGTCAAAACCGCAGTAGTAATACCAATTATATTTTTATTTTTTGTTTAAATACTCTGTGTACTCTATAATACTCAATACTCGTAAATTTTTAATTCTAACTTTTTCTCATAATTAACAACGATTTTTGTTTTATCATATTCTATTAACTGTTTGCATAATATAAATTATATATAATCTGAGAGTTTGTAATCTTCTTTCGAAAATTGTAAACTTTTTGGGGAAGTAAAAAATCCCAAAGATGAAAATCTAAATAACGTGGTAAAATACATCATAGTATATTTTCAAAATACAATATCTTTTTTCTTTTCTTTTTTTTGTAACAATTAGTAAAAGTAAGTAACCTACCTATTATAATATATATTTATAAGTACATTTTATTAGGTAAGTCATTATTGCGCAGTGCTTTTATTAACTATATATCTTTTATCTATACCCTGTATATGATTGGACGATATTCGGTGGAATTGTCGAGTGTATCGAGTTTATAATATTATTATTATAATAATACCTGTCGATGTTTATCTGTCCTTAATGTTCACGAAAACCAGCGTTTGAGCCGCTATTATTACTAAAACGATTGTTGCACTGTAAACCGTTCGATATTGCAAAAACCGTAGGACCGTATAGGTTAGGATAAAGAATGCATAAAGAGATAATATCAACAGTAGGTACCTCATAATCTGACGCATTCATATACACGCACAGTAGTTCCTGCAAAATGGCGTGGATTTTCGACAACCGAAAAAACTATTTAATATAATACTAAGGTATAAAGTAGGTACACGACAATAATACTATAATTTAAAATGAAAAATATACTATAAATATAGATAGAATAAAGTGCCTCTATATCTTATATATACTTATATAGTTGTAAATATTGTTGCAAATACAATAGATCTAATAAATCTATCTATAATATTATGTCGGGTAGCATACAAACAATCACTATACATTTAATGAATCAATAGTGGTGAGCTGATGATTCCTTATATTTAGAGGTCTTATATTCATTAAATTTTCCTGAACCAATTAAATTAAAACATTTTTTTATATAATTCTGCATGGTGTTCGGCACCGGTTTCGAAAAAAAAAACAGATCGTCATGGTGGTTAATAGTATGTACCTGTTGTACCATATAGACGAGCGTATAATATAGTTGTGACCAACTTACCCGAAGGGGAGCCGTTTAGCTGAAGTGCGTTGCCGAAGATCGGCAGAGACGGTGGTCCGGCGATGGAGCGGAACGAGGCGACGAACACGAGTCTGCGGATGATAGCGACGGCGATGAGCGCGACGGCTATGCATATCAAAATCAATGTGCTGCTGTCCATCGTCATCGGTGTGTGTTATGCTGCAGTTGAGTGGGTTGCCCCAACAATTACCGTGTTGTTCGGCGAGGTCTTCTTCCGGCTGACGACCGTGTGTCAGGTACACCTGGTATATGGTGTTATTATGAAAGTGCAGTGTTCTGGTCCTGCGAGATGCAGGGACCGCCAATGGAGCGGTGGATGGCCGGGTGCGTTGGAAACGCGGTTGCAGTAGGCGTCGACGGGACGGAAACGGAAAGACTGTTTCAGTTTTGAAAAACAGACAAAACGTAAAAAAAAAATTTTTTTTTAATATTCGAAGTCCGGAAACGTGTAGTCGGTTTCGACAGGTCTCGCCACGGTATACCGTCAACGAAATACGGTCGCGGGCAACGAGGTTTGATATGACATGTTCCAGTAATATTACAAATATTTATTAAATGTTATTTTGGACAACACGCCTATATGAACGCGATTTAACGGCGACAGTCGGTGTGTACGGAAATTTTAACGCGGTCGTACCTACTCGACGCGGCCGGTATGACAAATTGCCGCCGATCTAGTGCGCACACGCTTTGCACGGCGCGCTCTTATATGCCGGCTCGGGCCATCCCCATTATTACATACGCACATACACGCGGCGGTCGGCGGACGGCGGCCAACAACAACCCCTACTACACAACCGGACTTGGGCGCTTGACGCACGCGCTGCCGCCCCGTCCTCGTTGTCGTATATTATGTTATATTGTGCACACACAAACTGAATATAATATAATAAAATAAAATATAATATGTGTGTGTGCGTGTGCGTGTGTACAATATTGTATATATATATGTTAAATATTTTAGGAGTACGCGTTTGTCCGGCAGCACACACTGCAGCGGAGCACACTCATCGCAGGTGGCCCGATGTGCACATATAATAATATAATATAATAACAATTATTTTCCCAACGCGCACATACCACATCACATTATTATCATCACATACCTACCTCCCATATCAGAATATATATATATGTGGGTGTGCTATACGATTTTATATAAAATGTTATATTATATTAAATCTCCTAGAGGTATATATAATATGATGTATTGTGTACATATACATGTTATGTTGTGCTCAGCGGGCGTGTATATGTAGGAACGATAGTCCCATTGTACATTATTGTATTTTTATTATTCGAAGGTATAGGTAGGAACGCGATAAATTTGCACGTGTGCACGTCGATATACTCACATTTTGCTGTTACAACGTTAGGAGCGATCCACCCATAAGGCCACTAATAAAATCGCTCTCACTAGGTCAGAGTATGCCCATTATAAACGTAAATATAACTTATTTCCCTCTATACCTACCTACTTTATTGGAATACTTATATTATTATAAAGTGCATAGTAAACGTTGAGGGTTTTTGCATAGGTACTCTCGTTTGTATTATAAATTAAATGTATACTGACTACTGAAGTAGGCGACACTGAGACGCGTAGTACCTACTATATTAGGCACGTTATAAACGCCATCAAATTATATAGTGAGGCTGTAGCCGCTGTCACAAAATATTTTATTATTGACTTGGTGGTATAAAGTCACCCCCTCCCCCTGAAAAATTCCAATTAAAAAACTGACGAAAACTAATGTTCAAAATTCTTCATAAAGTAAGAGCCGTGGAAATTTCTAGTAATGTATATTCCATATACATAAGACGTATGACGATACTCTTATAACTGAATCTCATCCAGTAATGTATATATTCAATACTAAAATAAATATATATATATATATTACTATATTTACATAGTTATTAATCGAAGGATTTTTTTAAAGGATCTCAAGTCAAGTCAACTTTGAAAATTCTTTACTATTATAGTTCTCACACCCCTCAAACTACGTCTATGTATACTTAGATAAATGTTATTCGTCTCCAAAGTTTACAGCTGCTTATAAGCCTGCTGTATCAGTCAAGGACTGCATCAAATATAATATTATGATTTATGAATAACAGATACTACAATAATTCTAATAAATAATAATAATATCGCATATGCACCACGTTTACGGCTGCGTAGCACCTAACTATATAACGGCCTAATACATTGAATAATATTATATTATTACTATACAGTCCGAATTTGTATGCATTTATGCATCAACAACCTTGAAATATGCCACCTAATATGCACATTGTTTAAATAATATGCAAAAACATGCAATTATCCAAAATATTGTAAGGGTACTGGTTTCATGTTTCATATTAAAAACTGAACCTTCACTTATTTTTGGTTAAAATTTAATTTTTTGATCATAACATAAAATTGACAAGTCAAGTACAATTTAAAATAAAATATAAATAAGAGTACCTACCTATATAGATTTGAGCCAGTTTTTATTTTTATTTTTAAAATAAATATTTTATCAAAAAGAATTACCTGAATATAATATAATATAGATTATAGATTCATAAATAAAGAAATTTGAAATTTAAGACAACCAATTTTTATAAACTGTTTAAAAGATTATGTCTTACAGGTACCTATGCATAAAAATAATCGAGGCATACAATTATAATTACCTTTCTTCTAAATATACTTACAATTCTTCTGACATCGAAGTAGGTACCTAACGATTTTTTTACGAGAGTTAGCAGTTTCGAAAAAAATGAAAATGCATACAATTTCGGATTCTAATTATTACAGTGACACAAAGCAAATCCTCGTCATCTGACTCAACATTATGAGTACCTATTTTGGATATGACATGCGCTTTAAATATAAAAGACCAAGAATACAAAACACTTAATCATTATAATGTTTTGTCAGATTTTAAACATAATGTTAATAATATCACAAACGTCTTTTAATTTTTCATGATTTCCTTGATTTTATTACCACAACGATAGAATTGTACAAATACAAATTAATAATAACAGTTGGAAATAAAATAAAAAAGGGTAACAATAGTAGTAATCATAATTATGAATTATTCACCGATTTGTTACAGTAGAAATGTATTTCAAAGACGACCATAAAAAAATACTGAAACTAAAATGTGTCAACTTACTACAATAACTTACTGTGTGTGCTATTATATAGAAACTTTTTTTTTTTATTTGTTAAGTTTACCTTGACAATAATTATGAAAATAGAATTTTGTATGTTAACACAGACATTTACAACTCAGTCTAAATATGAAATACCCCACACAAAAATTTGATTTAACCTACATAACAAGAGTGTCTAATGTTTTAATAATTAATAAGAAAAATAATTGTATTTTGATATGCAAATTTGTCTACGCTGTTATGGTACTATAATATAACAGTGCGTATTCAACAAAAATTATAATTATTAATACAATGAAATATTTGTAAAGGTATGTAGACAATTCTTAGACTTAATCATATCTTAAACATGTAGTTAAAAGGATATTAATGCGTATTATCATCGAGACAATAAGAAATAGGATTTTAATCGAGGTGATTAATAAAAAAGGAATTTAGTCATTTAATATCAATATATTTTCTAAATTCTTCAAAAACTTTAAAAGGAAATAATACTTTTAAATATTTTAAACAAATTGTTATAAATTAATGATTTTCATCATTTTTACGTTGTATTTTTTAATTCTGGTATAGAAGCTATGATCATTAATCAGTGTTATATTTTTATTTGAACAGAACAAGAGTTATAACAAGGGTTAAAATTTCTTTTGCTGTGTATCGAAGTATGCAATTCTAAATAATTTAGTAAACTATTTGTTCAATTATTATAAAAACATATTACGAATTAGATACAAAGCGTACGATTTACTTTGGTTAAAATAACTATATTGTGTTGTTCAAGTGCTGACTTATTTTATTCTTATTAATAATACTTATTATATAATATTAAATAGGTAATATGATATTTATGAGTTATTTTTAGTAAAACCTAATTATAATAATAATTATAATTATGTAATCAATAATTTAATTTTAACTATTTGTCTACAGTGTACGCCACTCCACACACAGTCAAAGTGTGTACGGTGTACCTAAATTGAAGCAAAATATTTTATGCATTCGTTTTAGCACGATGGGTTAATTTCAGATAGGTAACCTACTCACTAATAGTCCATTTCATTGTTTACCATTCTCACAGGCACTCACAGCAATCATAATTTGTTTTGAAATGCCGATATCTATATTTTTATTTATTCTTAAACATTAACTAGTACTTCTCTCGGAAATATTTATAAAATCAAATTTAAAATAATTAGATATTGTAAACTTAAGAATCAAAAAAAAATTACCATATAAATTATATATTATATAAAACTCTTTCTTCAAAAGCAATTAAGCCTAATTAAAAGCATTTATAAATAAATTTAAAACAAAATTGTATATTCTTTTTAATTTTTTCTAAATTTTTTCACTAAGTCTGTAACATTTAGTCTCGATTGTTAAGTTTTGTACATTTATTAAAAAACTATTATTTAAGAAACGTAATTTTTAAGTAATTGATTTAAATGAATACATTTTAATAAATTTATTTTATTTTCCTAAAATAAATTCTTATTATAATTGTTAAACTTATAATTGATACTACCACGGATCATTATTTTCTATTATCATTGTTTATATTAAATAATTAGGTAATAATAGTAGGTATTATAATACATCTTTAAACCTATAATATTATTTACCACGTAAAAGATATTTCTTCTTATCGATATCAGAAATTTAAAATATTCTTGCTGGAATATATTTTTTTATTTTTGTTTTGCATATTTTATTTGTTTAGTCAAACTGCAAATTTTTTCATACAACGTTGTGTTTTGACACACTCCCATAACTATAATAAATAATAATGCAACAGATGCTGGTTTGATGTAATTATAATGGGAACTGTTTAATAATATGATGACACTGCGAATAATATATGTGCAATAAATCAAAAGTCAAGTAAACCGCATTTATATAGGTGAATTCTTAAAAAAAAAAAAATACAATAAGTAAGTACTCAGTGTTTTATCATTATTTTTTATGTAGTTTAAAAACAGTAAAAAATCATTGAATTGAAAAAAGATTCTGCTTATATAAAATTAGGTCTATAAGATTTCTAGCGGTTTTTATAATTATTCCCTTAAAAAAAAATATTCTGAAATTCCATAAATATGTCCACTTGAAGTATATAGTTAGGTATCATTTATGTTTAATTTTAAACCTTGAAATACATAAAACATTCAGAACACAC